GGGATAGATTCCTAGAACTGTGAATGCTTTGCAAGAGGACAAATGCATATGTAATGTCACTCGTACTCAAAATCGCCCATTTGGGGTGTTGTAACTTGTTACATTCCTGCTCCAAACGTCTAAAAGTGCATTTCCCCACAGCTTCACTTACAGAATGTGTTATTAAACTTTTAGATTTTTTCCACTACGATAGGTGAGAAATGGTAATACACGGCAGTTTTCATTAGCGTTATTATTGTGAATCAGGCTGAACAACTCTTCATATGTTTAAAGGCTATTGGTATTACTTTTACTAGAGTATACAATTAAATCTTATGTAATTTTTTCTATAAGATTGTCATTTTCACCTCTACTATATATGTTCCAAGTAGTGACTATCTCAGTTTTTCACTTGTCATATTAATTTATTTTGTTATTTTTACAGAGAAGTTTTTTTTTATACTCATGTAAACTTAATTTTAAATCTGCTTTTAGATCTCTGTTTTACTGTATGAAATGAGAAAGATACATAATTTTATTTCTTTCTTACATGGCTATCTATTTACCCCAATGTGACACTATTTTAATAACAGAAACTTTACAATTCGTTTTAAATTCTGTATGGTTAGATACCTCATTCAATTTTTGCTTTAACTTTTATAATATCTGTTACCAGATATTTGTGATTGTTTAGTCATTTTTTGCAAACGTTAACAAAAAATTTCTGAAATCTGGTTCTTCAGTATCTATATTCGTTCTGTGTGAATTAGACTAGAGAAAACGTGATTTCCAGACCTGATAAATCTAAGTCTCCAAACTTTTGAATAATAATATTAAAGCACAATCTAGTAATTATGAAATGACTCCAGCAATCTTCTTTAATTAANTTTTTTAGTTTTTGGTTTATTTTTCTCTCTTCTTTCACACATTTTATCATACTATACAAATGTTTTCTAAATCTTGTCTTTATTCACTTAAGAATTCTGTGGGGAAATCTATAGGAATACATAAAAACCTTCCTTTTTCCATTTTTACGGTTGTATACTTAAATATTTAGATCCATAGTTTATTCAATCACCTTCATATTAAACTTTATAAAGTCAGTTGTTATTATAAATAATGCTTATGAATGCATTGCTTATATATAATATTGCTGGTATAATTTT